TTGGCTACATTGTAATTCATCTACTGGCTATGCTGTAATTCATTAATTGACTAAGCTGTTATTCATTAATTGGCTATGCTGTAATTCCTTTATTGACTATGCTGTCTTTCATTAACTGGATATGCTGTAATTCCTTTATTGACTATGCTGTCTTTCATTAACTGGATATGCTGTAATTCCTTTATTGACTATACTGTCATTCATTAATTGGATATGCTGTATTTCATTAATTGACTTTGCTTTGATTTATTCATTGACTATGCTGTAATTCATTCATTGACTATGCTGTAATTCATTAATTGACCATGCTGTAATGTATCAATTGACTTCCTTTTATTGGAATGTTATTGTCATGTGTGTCTTATGTACAATTTTTTGATGTTGCTGACTGTTATGCTTTGTTGATCGTAACTACAGGAAACATCTAAACTCTTACTAATAATGGTACTGATTCGGAACATGTATATATAATCGATGTTATTTGAACATGATCTAAGAATTAGTATTAATATAATAGAGGCATGATAAAAAAGATGATAAAGATTTCTAAAGAAAAAATATTGATTCTAAATAAAAATCGATAAAGAAATAAGGTAATGAAATAAAAAAAAAATTATCGCCATAGTAACTAGTTTGACGAATTTTGTCGTAAATACGTTGAAAAACGAGTGATTTAATCTTGATTTTAGTGGCAGAGTCCTCGAAATATGAGAAAATCTCAGTCGGTTCAAATTATACTGATAATTAATTTATATGATTTTTTGCATCCTGTGATCAGTGTAGGCTTAGTTAATTCTACTAGGTCATACCTAATTACAGACTGGAAGCTGTAGACTGAAACAGATCGATGGTTATCTAAAAGCTTCAGAGAGACACAATGATATTGATTGACTAAAAAAATCTGCTAAAATCTTATTCGGTTGGGTATAAAGGCCCGTGAATAACCAGGGTCATTGTCAGTTTGAGTCGCCTTCTAGCAATTAAACAGCGAGAGGACTGTCGAGTTCTATCAACAGCAATTAGGGAAAATAGTCTTGCGCAAAGACACAACACAAAAAAAATGACGATATTATACTTACGTTGGCATTCGGGCCCATACACGTCATCAGTTGCATTAGATATAAATTTTATTGCGCAATGCGTATGTCAATTGTTTCATTCTTAAAATTATAATCGAAAATCCCTCTCATATATTTTATTTCTACAGTCAACTGTTAACCAGAATGTTTACTTAGATGATATGTGTAAACATCGATATCTGTGTGTTTTTTTGTAAATTCATTAACCGATTGTTGTGTGATATAATTGAATTTTGTTCACTCGATATGAACTAGTGATATAGTACAAAACTTTAAGCACACCAAACGCCGTAACTGTGATGGTAATTACGATGCTGATATCAAGGTCCCTCAATTGGTACCCTTTCAGGAATGAGTTTGAAAACAACAAGAAATGTCTTATGTGTCAACAGAATTTTGAGTGAAACTCAAAATCGATGAAACGAGTTTTCACGTAAAGAAAATAAGACCAAGCAATTCGGAAGAGTAAGCGTCCTCTTCATAATTGTACCGTGTACATCTTAGGCTAGTCAGACTCGTCTTTTATTACGGACTGAAGTAATAAAGCCGTCAAGGCCGTGTAATTCATGTTTTACTTATTTCAATAAAATACTAAATACTATATATTTCAATTAACTTCAGATACAACTGTTTATTTTGAAGAAGCTACACTTAAGGAAAGTACTGATAAAAATTAATAAAACAAATGTAAAAAAAATAAATAAATAAATAAAAAAGGGGGGATCGATAAATTAACATATACTGTAATTTGTGTGAGAAAGTGTGTCTTTGAACCTCTTTGTGTGTACTTCATATGTAAATTGAGTTGAAGAGACGTTATCATATCGTTTGGAAAATTCAAAATGGTAAAGTAAGCTTACCTAGAGAAATCTGTGTCCCTATCATACATGATTTGACCATCATTAGTAGTAGTAAAAAGAACTGTCATTGTATATCAATGCGAAAATTTCATCATTCTATAAAATATTTGTAGAAAGGAATTAGCATTCTGATAGAAATTAAAGCAAAATGCAAACTTAAATGTCTACTGCCTCCTGATATTCATATTTATTGTCTTTTGTTAAAAAAAAAACAAAAACAAAAATACCAATATGTCAACATAATTATAATCAAACGTCATGTTCATTCAAATTAAGAAAAAATGAACAAACGGCAGACTTATATTTAGATTTTTGAATAACTACATGGAGAATAACGACCAGGTGTTTCAGAGGAGTAAGCGTCTTCTGTTAGTTATAAGTCTAGCACAAGCACAATAATGAATATCATGGCACCATACAGCTGTTTTGTCCTTTTAGAATTAATCACAGATTTACTTGGATAATGTTGGATTTGTTTATTATTATCTGTGCAAGTTAAGACTTCTGTAATCCAAATCGATGAAACGAGAAGAAAATCTTGTGAAAATACATCGGAATCTTAAAGACACATAATGACGTTCAAAGGTGATCCGAAAGGGAAGCGACACCTTTAATGTACAAAAAGTCACTTCCATTGGCAGTGGGTTTTCAAAAAGAGAATCGTGGTAATAACAACAAACCATTAGGCGTACAAACAAGCATCGACCTCATTCAAATCAATTTCGGAAACACGTTATTAAGCATTTAATCTTCTTCAAAATATCAACAAGCTAGCATGGAAGCAAAAGAAAATGTCACAGTTTTTAAATCGAAAATCCGTAAGTAAGAATTTCAAATTACCAATCAAGCTATGTGGTAAAGCTGCCTGTATTTGTTACGTTATGTATGTAAATATCGATGTTAGTGGCTGCAGTAGGAGAGTTCGTTATTATTGATAAATCAAGTATTACATGTTTTCTATTTCTTTTATCAAAATAACACTACTGGAAAATGATTAGGTGGGACAGGTTCATAAAACAATTTTGATATCTGTATGTTCCAATACCTGATACATCTTGTATCATTCAATTGCCTTTGTAGTTGAGTGTAGATTAAGGATTTGCTCGTTAAACATAAATCTCAGGCACTATCCTGTTTGAAGAAAAAATCACAACTGCGTCGTTTCCACACAAACACATTATTTGGCCTTGGTGAAAGTTGAATCTAACACAAGACATATCAGGAGACAAGATTCATTAACGTTTTTGTTTTCAAGGTTTCAGCTGTCGACTTCTTGAAGTAAACATCTTGTCTTCTATAGATATAACTTCATAACAAGATAGAGTAACGGGTTTAAACATGTTTTAAAGAATCGGCGTTGACATTGTTGAATAAATTTAGTTAATTCATTTGCATGAACAGCTTTTCATTTGATAAGTTACTTTATTAATTTAAATTTTCCATTCAAATAACTGTCGGGTTTCATCAGTTGATCATAGAAATACGACCCATTTGATTGATTGAATCACAATTCAATATTGACACAGGAAATTAGTGTTCGAAGAATTAAATGCCCAGTAAAATTGCTAAAAACTTATTCCAGTACATACAATGTTTTCGACCAGGGTGACTAAAACCGTTGAAGTTTTGGAAATGAAAATAGCTTTAACAATAAATTGGTTCAATGCAATGTCTATCGGTATGGTCGAATTATTGTACAAAAGACACACCTGTCAATGCAATAATAAATAATAAAATGCCGATGTGTCAACATAATCCTAACTCCAACTCAATGTCGATGACACTTGAGGACAATTGAACTAGAGAATGTAATTATTTAGAACATGTTTATTTGATTACGAATAAGTCAAAGGATTGTCGAATAATTTTCACTTTTTGAAAAAAAAAAAACATAAGTGGCAACAATTTAGCGGATTCGTGTATAAATCCTGTCCCTGTTTAGATTGATATATGTTCAAAACAAAGCAATTAACGGGCTTATTAAAGCATAATTGTGGATTGTACAGTGAAGCAAAACAACCAGCACTTTAATGTGTGAATCTGATATCCGAGCATAGGATCATATCACATTACATCCCATCAGCTAAATAACTTCGGGCCTATACCATGCCGTATAAATCGAAATCAAATTTAATATGATTTAAGACAGGAATTTCGATATGTTGTAAATATACTTTATATTTAACACGGAATATATATCTTACGAACACCAACAATATTTATGGAAGAGATCTGCTATGTATAACACATCCATCCAGGTATAACACGCCCACCACCAACCTTGTGTAGAAAGTGACGTCTATTTGTCTATGATTGCATCTCTTCATATAGTGTTTACGAAGCTCCAGTTGGTCTTGTGTTCAATTTCCTTGCGATCGATGTCTGCTGCTAATGAAATAGATTTTTCGGTGTAGAATTTCATTTTCCAATACATACCTTCAACGCAACTGTTGATGGACAGGACATTTAATAACTTGTTGTATAAATATTGGTGCTTAGTTAACGTTTGATTAAAAGTTCCGTGTTATTACCTTGTAAAAGGAGTTAACTTAAACAGTCAGCGATATAGACTTCGCAGCAACCACTTATGGAGATGATGAAAGGGAGACATTCATTTTCAAAAATAGTTCTACGAAGGTGGGAAACAAACTTGGAGTAAGACAATGGATTACGACTGCATAGAACGAAATATTACGAAACGATACTGTGATATCAAATATACATGTAGATATTTTTTTTTCGTTTAAATTAATCTGTTATATATGTCAGTCTGACATGATATGTGCCTTTGATTAAGTATATGTAGGTGGTCCGGAAAACTCTAAACTTCTAGATTGTGTAACAGGTAAAACGTTTTGGAAAATCAAATACCGGGCAATTCTACTTATAATGGATATTCGGAGATGTATGAAAGTATCTTTCGAGGAAGAACATAAACAAGGATGTGTAATAACTTTGAACTGGTGAGTGTTATTACTAATGCTAAGTGACGTTTACATGTATTTTTGTTTTCATCGAAATTGTTGTAACCAAAAATATATACGGGATACATATATTTGAAATGGTTACCAGTGAACCCGACGTTGAACACGAATTTCGTTCTCGGTACGAACACTATATACTTTCATCAAAAGTGATCATAGTTGTTTGTGATGTAGTCATGGCATTAACAATCATTGTAGGACTGGTAGGAAATGTTTGTATATGTGTGTGTATATGGAAAAATAAACACCTCCGGACGTACATCAACATTAATTTGGTGAGTTCCTGTGTTGCTAACATAATTGGGTGCACCTGCCTGCTTCCAATTCGAATACAGCTATACACAGGCTATACCATGTTTTCCTCTGTTCAGATTATGTGCGGAATCGGAACATTCTTCCGAACATTTGTGGATACCATGCAGTTTTTTATGCTTGCTATGGCTAGTTTTGAACGTTACCAGGCCGTTGCTAATCCATTCAAAAAAGTAGGTCTTCGAAAAAGGTCGACAGTTTTAGTAATAACATCATGGACGTTTGCAGTGTCTTTAGGTGTCTTCTCGGCAATAATGTTCATCGATAGTTCTCTTTATGTTCCTTGTTATTTTTTAGACGGTGCTCCTAATTGGACGGAATATGACCAGTATTTGATATTTCCTCTAGGTATGACGTTACTGTGTGTGATTATAGTATTTTATGCTCTAATCCTAAAAACTCTGTTCAAACATTCTGTAAAGATGTCCCGGCATAAAAATAAAAGAAAGGTCGCACCGGATCAACTTAATATAAACAGCGAAAACGCCAGCGTGTCATTTGTAGGAAATAATAATATGAAAGGAAGTACAGGCAGCTCTCAGATGTTCAACGTGTCGTCACAAAATGGGAGCGATCAGAAAGATTCAACGGATTCAAAAAATCCGACACCTACCTCAATGACATTAAATGTTCCAGGGAAAAGCAACACAAACACTAATAGAACAAAGGAAACTACTGTGCATGATCAAATGTCAACATCTAAAGCAATAAGTACGTCTTCGTCCTTACAGGACAGTACAATACAAGTTGTGGAAATGGATGGTACCGTGAAAATGGCAAAACGCAACGACGAGACCGTCGTGGGCGCTGTGTGTCTTATGAACAATAAGAACAGAGAAAATGGACGTAGAAGAGTGGAATTAAAAGCTTCAAAGAAAATCGCCATTTTATTTGGAACATTTACATGCTGTTTCATTCCACTTCCCGTTTACGTTGTTAGTAAAAGCATAACTGGTAACATAGTGCTTTCATATTCCATGTTTTGTATATTAGTAGCATTAGCTACACTTGGCAGTTCCGTAATAGCAATAAATCCTGTTCTTTATGCGCTTCTCAATCGCCCACTTAACTCAGCAATGAAGCGTCTGCTTCACTTTGATCGAATTATCTGTCAGTGGAAAGCGTCGTAACACCTGATGGCGTGGTAGAATTATTTTATCTATGCTGTGATGACGGTCATGTATGTTAACTTCTGTAAAAAATATAATTTTGAAACTGTTTGGTCAATTTTTTTTTTGTTGTATGAATATTTTTTTAATTTTTTAAGAAAATATTTAGCGGATTATTAAAGTGACAATCAATACTACGTTACAATAGAATTTGAGTAAATAACAGGCAATAGTTGATAATAGCTGTAAGTATGTGAATACGTGAGGACTTTTAGCGAAATATTATTCATCACTTCATCCAATTGTTTTGACTTTCAGCAATTTATACTAGGGCATATAGAAATGTAAATTACTTTCTCTGTTACGAATGGCTTTTACCCCTAATCAAAGGAAATACAATAACATAGGAAAGACTTCCACAGGGAAAAAGTGAATAGAACATTAAACACAAATTTAGCATTAGGAGAAGAAGAGACAAATATTAAACTGTATTATATAGCTGATTCGTCCTTCTGGGACCCCTCAGTGATGCTATATTACTTTCAGAGGTGTAAATCATGGCAATAACACAGAGAAGAAGAAGAAAAAAAAGAATAATAAGACGATTTGTTCAAAAGGGTATGTGTCTTCTAATTCATTGCATTAAATAACATGGTATTGTTTGCATGATGCTGCTTTGTTTTCTTATTTATTTTGATATATGATTTCTTACAACCTCTTTTGTCTGAACAGTAAATGCATGAATTTATATTTATACAGAGAAAGGAGAAGCATTTCTTTGATTTTATTGATTATAAGATGAGATGTGCTTTTATATGGGAGGAATTTCTCCTTGTTTTGTTGCACTCTAAGGTTGAGACAGGAATATTAAAAGTGAAAAGCAATGACGTTACGCCAACATGGCCAGGCATTGAGAAAACTATCAAAATTATCCTTCATGCTTTCATTAATGACATAGTGTATCTCAACACTTAAAGATATATCCCTTGTGTCAACCAAAACGGCAAGAAAGAACATATTATCCTCCACATTTGTTTAATAACTTTTGATTCTGTTCAAAGGTGTATCCCACTGTATTACATGCAGAGAGGTGAATGGTAGCATTTCATTCACCTTTTTATATTTGTAATGGAGTCGTTACCCTAATGTATAGTATTGTTGAAATAGTGACATTGACTTACCAAACGCTATAATGGCAGCGTACAATGATTATTTCTGGGAAATCCCCTTTTTCAATATGTTGCAAAGGAATTGCTCATTCTAAATCTAAAGAAAATCGCATGGTAGTAAAAGTGTGGATACACTTATACATCGTTAGTAAAATGGGAAAACATACATGATTTTTAATTTTTTTTTCAATGGCAGCTAACACATACATTCATTTTGGGCTGAAAAAAATCTTGTCGGAAGCTGTAATTCTTCAAATTCGTCAATATCAGAATTCATAACAATCCAAGCAAATAAACTATCGATAGAAGATGGTTTATCGTCAAGGTGCTGTACACAAATGGCAATTGAAAAAGAGCTTCCAATGGAAATCTGCAAATACATGTTGTCTAAACTTCTGTTTTGTGTTTTTAACATATTTATCATTCATTTACACTGCAGAGAAAAAATATTTCTTATGCGTTGATATTTCGTAATGAAATCGATTCCTAGGTCAGAGATGAGAGAGAATGAATCATTTTGAAGATTTTAAAGATTAAGCAATATCAACCGAGTCTCGGTTGGGACTCGTATATGATTCTATTTCTCATATAGGCAAACAACGATTGAATCTATCTTTCCCTCGGACGGTCGTTTGCGCTTGCAATGTCGTTCCCTCCGTTCAAGTATCTGATTTTGGTATTCTTGATGCAGACTTCTTGAATAAGAAATGTTAAGTTTGATCTGTTTGATGATGAGTTGAGTTTTTTAAACTTGGTACATTATATATAAATCAGAGTAAAATAAAGTACTTGGAAAAATATCGATTTTTAATCATACACCAAGTACGTGTCATTTATAGAAAAGAAAAGGGTATGTTTCAAAGTACTGTAAAATTATTAATTTTCGTGAGGAATTTATTTTCCACGTGTATTGTTAATCCATGAATTCATATGTCCATGAAATGATAATCACTAAAGATTAACATTATCTTTGACATTTATATTCAAAATCAAATGTCAATGAAAATCTATTTTTATGGAAAGCTGCAAAATTTGAACCGATCAAATACATGATTTTACAGTCTTGGTTCAGTGTGCTATGCATTATAAAGTAACATATATAAGTTAATGTGATTACGTCAATTATTTAGTATGGAGCAACAAAATACATCAGTTTGATTTTGTCCTATTTTAACGAGAAGATTTGCCATTTTTTCTGATTTAAATTTTGAATTTTATTTCTTTGCTTCATGAAATGTAATAATCATATACAAGTAATGATTTATACATCACATTCAATATTCGAAGGACTTGATAAAATCAAGGACAATTTTTAATAATGAGCAACAACCAATAAATCAAATTGACGTACATTTATTTGATAGTCAATCTCTTGGGCGTCTTCATCGATAAACAATTCTGTTCTACAATACTTCTCCCGAGAATAGCAGTTCTGTTGCCTTGTGTATTTAAAGAAGCAATATTGATTAAAATCACAATCAGGGCGAATGAATGGTTCAACACAATGACTGTTTCATCAATGTGTTATAAGGGTAAGTGTTATACTGGTAAATATTTGGAAAGGCAGAACAATCATTATAAAAAAAACATTAGTCAAATACACATGCATGGGTCCATTCAGCGTCAGAACCATCGATCGAAATTCTACTTGAAACGCACATGCTATTTTATTCGAACTGTAAATGTCCGCAAAGGGAAATTGCTATTTGTATGTTAAATCTATATTCTTTATAGCTTTACTGATATGGTTCGGAAATCAAGCGAATTACAAACTACACTGTAATATAATTCCAAGGATATCTTTACTTAATTAAGGTTTAATGGATGTCAATGAAACATTTTAAATGTATTACACGAATTATTTAAATCTTGATTCAATGAAGAATAGAATTTTATCGTTTATAACAAAGCAATTAAGTACGACAGCAATAAAGCATTTTGGAAGAAATTGACCTGTTACATTATATCACGCCGCTGGTTAGCCATGATGTTAGTTGAAATAACCGAAATCAGTCGGGTTTATACATGCTAATATACTTATATGTTATAGATGTATATTCTTTTGTCATCTTCCTTCAACACTCGAGTTGGATTGGAGTGGGATATATTCAGCGCTTTTTATTAGTCTCTCGACAAGATTGCGCAATATACTCACAATAACACCTTTCATTTTATCCTGCATCAGTATTGGCGATGTTATAGATGTATCTCGTGACAAGACAAGCATATAAAACAATATACAACTCTGTACTTTATAGAGTTGTTTTCACATTAGTTCATTATCGGAAATTGGTTTGAGGGATTTATTTAATGGGTTGGCACTTCCAATTCTTCTTGCTCTGGTAACTTATATAAATTCTATTGAATTTGATTTTTATCGATCGATCATATTTTTATTTCACTTTCATTATCTCAGTTATTGCGTAAACACGATGTTGCGGAAACTGCACATATAAACCATTCCGGATGAATTATGGATTCATTTCCATGGACATTATTCATTATATGTATTCACGAGATGCTGTACTTCAAACTATAAAGAATACATATCGCTTGCTACATTTTTTTCAAACATACTGAAAATGATTGCTAGGATTGTACAAAAAAAGTACAAGATTGAATAATAATAATAAACTGCACAGCGTCTGAGAACAAAGCAAACTAATTTAAATTAATGTCAAAATCTAGATGGGGAAGTGCACAGGCCTTTTATTTAAATAGATTTCGTAATTAAAACGTGGCACGCAGATTACAGTTCACCAACAGTGCCTACCATCCGCAATCTCTCGAGATTGTAAAAAAAGCCACACAAGTATAGAAGCCTCATTATTAAACATGTTTCGTCACTGAAACGTAGCATGCAGATTACAGCAAACATAGTCCACCAGCAGTGCCTACCATCTCTAATCTAGTACACTAGCTTCATTATTAAATATATTTCGTCATTGAAATGTGACATGCATATAACAACGAATCTCATGGACTAAAGGTCCACCAGCAGTGCCTACCGTTTCTGATCTAGTACACTAGCCTCATTATTAAATATATTTCGAAGTTTAACGTGCATACAGATTAAAGCAAATCTCGGGGACTAAAAGTCCACCAGCACTGCCTGCTATCTGCAATCTCTCAAGCTATACAAATAATAAATATGACATATCCGAGTACATTCACACCAGTGGACTGTTAGGTTCTTGACATAGAATATCAGCTAAAGAGCAATTCTGTATCATTCTAAAGCAGTAGAACATGGGTACGGGAAGACAACTTTCAGTTGATAACAACACAGGGCACACATGTCATTAACAGTCTATTATTTCTAATCCGTGGTAAGTACTCGACACCTGAACCATCGTAATGATGGAACAAACATGTGATGTAAGTCAAAGCGATCGAAATGTAAATTGTAGACAAGGATAACAATTGACCCAGTATTGTAGCCGTTAAAAATTCAAATTTACTGCTTGCATGGTAAAACAAATTCAAGTTGCAAAATCAACAGGTTTCGTTACTTACATAATGTCGCTATTTGCAATTGCAAATGCTGAGCTTGGTGACGGATAATTACATCTTGATTAAGTATCTGATTTCGTAATAATTATCTGACCAACATTTTGGTGAGTTGACAAATTGCAACTTCATTTTGAATTTAAATATCATTTTTGAACACGTGATGATAAAGATTTCTAACATGTTTTTGGACTTCATGAGTCGAAATTGTCCTCTTTATGGATATCTAACATATAATTATGATATTATCGTGATTTGAACTCGTTATCGTCACTGTGATCAGAACAATGGAAGTCGATGGAGAGAAACGAACCATGTAACCCGTATACCGATTTAAATGTT